TTTTATTCCTTTTTTGTGAAGTACATGGGACTGGAGTTTTTTTTTTGCTTTTTAAATGAACCGACATCATTTTTCATTTTAAATGTCTTTTTTTAATATAAAAACGGTACGTGTTTAAAACGCGTTTAAAACGCAAAAAAAAAAAAAACTGGCTAGGCTTGCAGTTCTGGTAAGGCGTGAGCTATGCGGGAAAGCTTGCTCAAGACATTCCACACGCTTAAAGTTCACATTTTATCACATTCATATTTTATAGAAAAATGTTTGGTGTACACCTTTATGTGTACATCTTTCACACACATTGTCTGTCTACATAAATAAATTTGTTTTTATATAGACAATTTATGTATTTCAATATGAAATGTCTGTATACAGATAACTCTATGTGGATAGATGGACAAACAGTGGAGGCCAGAAAATAAAAGTGTTGGGGGCAAAGTAAGAATGAAGTACATGAATAAAAATAAGATTAAATAATATTAATATGAACAGCAAAAACTTGTAATAAAGTACACGAGAACTTCGAAACGGAATAAAGTTTTTTTTTACCCCGGAAGGCAAACCGCCAAAATCAGTGGGGTAAATGCCGGGGGGTCATTTACCAATTTTTATTAGATATGGGATCATAACAAAAGGGGTGGGGGGGGGGGGGGGGGGGGGGGGACTAGGCCAAAACCCCTCCAAGAAAACCGGAAAAAATGAAAAAGTATTGGGGGGACCAAACTGACCCAATAAAAATATAAGATAGAAAAATTCTAATAAAACTAAGGCCAAGTTGATCTGCAATGAGAGCCCGTCGAAACGGAATAAAGTATATTACAATAAAGTACACGAGACTTTGAGTGTGATTGACTTTATGTCTGGTCCAAGGGCGGATAATTGGGTCAAGATGGTTGGTCTTGGGATGTTTTTATTTGGAATGTTTTCAGTCACAGACCAGACCAGACTTAAATAGACCAAACCAGACTTAAACAGACAAGATCAATTTAGTCCAGACCAGACCAGACTTCCGTAGTTATAAAATACACAGAGATCAGACATTTAGCAGACCAGTTCAGATCAGACCAGACCAAACATAAAAAGATTAAATCAGACCAGATCAACAAATTTTGATCCAAGTAAAAACACCTTTGATGTAACTTTCTTGATTTCTGATATTTCAATAAGTCATTTACCATAATTTTTCATAGTAGGAAAGCATCACTCGTTGACACAAAAGTGTCTGTGAACAGACAACTTGTCTGCGGAAGACAGAGATGTGTACACAAAAAGTGTACACATTTTGTGTACACTTACCAAACTCTTTCACCACTTGGAGCAGTGGGACGTCTGGTTATTTCTTCCATTAACGGTTTTCTCTTCTTTAGCTTTATTTTAGTTTCCTAACTTTTACCCTTCACTACCGTTGTACACTCTTTTTAAATAACTATTCTAATAATGCTCGGGAAGAGTTTCTCAGATCTTATCCCACCCACTATTCTCAAAGAAACATTGGCTCACTAAGCATTTCATGTTTTAATGTTCCCATTTTTACTCTCGGTTTCTCGAATCGCGATCCTCTGCCTAGCTATAACAGCCAGATTGATATAACTATTAAAATTTGCATAGTTGTATGTTTCATTTGGACCACAAAACTTAGGAAAATCGTAATACAGGATGTTTGGATTGTGGAATTCGTATAGTTGGAAACTCAATATACTGATTTCCAATTCTTTTACTGTAGTGATTTAGTTGAATTCAATTTAGTAAAGTGTACATAATTTTAAACAGCTCAAAAGAAAAATGTATTTTATGAAACGGAGGATGTAACTATTAAACAACTCAAAAAGAAAAGTGTATTTTATGAAACGGAGGATGTAACTATTAAAATTATACAAATTAAGGGGTTCAAAGAATAAGAAGGTATATTTATTAAAAAAATAATAAGAAAGTATAACTTGTATAGTTGTATTGACTAATGTCAAATATTATGAGAACAGAATTAATATATTACATAAATTTCTCTATGTTTTTTGTACCGTTACTTTATTTGAGCGATTGTTATTACTGTTTTTATTTTACAAAAGAAATCGAATGCACTATGTGACTCTGGTTTGTGCCAAATTTGGTAAAAACTTGACCAAATTGGAGTATTTCAATACATGAATCCTCATTCAAAAGGCCGGTAATATATATAAGGAGTGTAAGAGTTCGTTTAGTAACACTGGATTTGCTGAATCAGTTGATTTTACTGAAATTTATGAAGTTCTGGCTAAAGTGATTTGATTAACTGGTTCAACTGAATTATGAAAAAATTATATCAAAATAGTTAAAGTGATCATCTATAGCACTTACCGTCAATCCAGCTAAAAAGTAAATCCAGCCCTACTTATTTTTATTATTCACTAATCAACGTGCGAAATAAAAAATTACGTATTTGATGAAAAAGTTGTTTGAATCGATGAGACTGATAAGCCACAAAAAGTGTCACCAAAAGGGCTCTAAATGTTCATTCTACTCTGTATAATTGAAAATTTCTTGATGAGTAAAAACAGGAAACAATTTGCAAATAAAGTACTACTATCTTTGTCCAATTTTATGTCTCTTACTTTAGTTTGACACGATTTTTAATAAAGTGGTTGGAAAGTAGAAATTGTGGTTGAAATTTGAGTATAATAAAATGAAATGTTGTAGGTCACACATTCCTTTCAAAAAAATGAAATGCGACATTTATTTTGGGTCAACCCAAAGAGGAAAGTTGAACAGTTAAAATGGGACAAAGTAGAGTATGTTTGTTTATTCAAAACAGAAATAAAGTATCGTGATGATGACATTATCAAACATAAATATGACAATATTGTCAAATTAATACCATAATTAACAATATTTTTAATCATGACATCAAGTACCCCAATTTAAGGAAAATTGTAATACTCCAATTTTTAAAGTTCATATTATTTTCACTCATTCCATACAAATACATTAAGGGGGTGTATTATAAGGAGTTAGTGGCAAAATTTTAAAAATTGATGGATCATAACAATTTAGGTATATTCAATGCAGATGTTTAAAAGTTTATAAAAATCTTGATGTATTCAATGCAAAGTTTTAAAAATCTAAAAAAGTCTAGGCGTATTCAAATCTACACTTATTTGTATGTACTTTTAAAATCATGATTCTCGTGGACTTTTAATTCATAGGTTAGTACATTAATTCTATGCAATTGTCTATTCTCTTCACTTAAGACTTGAGTGAACTTTTTTCTTTTAGCTTCTACTTGTCACAAGTATGCATAGATCAGATTCCGGGATCACAACCCACCCAATCGAGCTTGGACTTGTATCGGGTGGAGAGGTGACTACCAAGATGGTCTCGAAATGCGAGATTCGAAAATTAAATTCTGATTTTCATTATTTTATGATAAATAAAATTGAGTAATGAGACTACATCATATACACAAGATAGACTTAAAAAACATTAAAAAGTGATATATCATCTTATAAAGAAAAATGCAACGGTGAGATCCGTTCTATTCTTGAAAGAAAACTAGGAACCATTTGAAGAACTGTTAATCCAATATCCATTCGATTTTAGAATCGATAGTATCATATCGGTACTTTATTATAAGTTGTCAGTTATCCTTTACGAAATAAAAAATATATTTAACCATTATTGTGTTTCACCACTAACCTCTAACACATAAAATATAATGTCAAACTAATAAATACTACTCTTTCCGTTACTTTATTATTGTCTCAATTCCTATTCACTTGGTTAATACAAATCACTTTTATTCTTTTACTTTATATATCAAATTTTTATCAAATTTTTTTCTGATTTTTGCGACTTTGTACAGATTTTAATGTAGTTTCCGAAAATTTGAATATGTAACTTTTTTTCTAAAAATAATTTGAGTGTGAATAATGATTTGTTTGTTTTCTCATCGTTCAAGCATCATAAGGCGCAACGGGACAATAACAGCGGAAAAGAGGTAGTACGTATATAGTGTTAACAAGCTAAAAATCATCAAAAGTGGAAGAGAAGCGAATGCCTTGGTTTGGCGAGGGGTATCGGCGGCTCAAAATTGGGGTTATTGGGCAGCAACACTCTTTTGCCTCACTTCAAACACTTAATTGTGAATTTCAAAGGATAGCTATAGATTAGTGTAAAAGAGTAGCGACCTATTGGTTTTTGGAAGTATTGGTTTTGTTGAACGATTGAACGAATAAAGCAGCTACGGTTCTCCTAAATAGATAGTCGCACTTGTTTGACGCCTGCTCTTGAGGAACACATAGGGACGGACTCAGGCCGGGTCAACCGGCTCGTAACCGGCCCGACCCGGCCCGACCCGGCCCGATACTATTTCGGCCCGGCCCAAACTGGTACCCGGGTCCATGCCCGGTTCGGGCCACCCGGCCCAGTACTGGTGGTACCGTCAATGAACTCTTGCGGCAAACATGCAAGATTCGACGACAGTCCAGATTTAAAGTTTATGTGATCCGGATTTATAAGCTTATGGACTTGTTTGAAAGTCTATGGACTTATCAGTAGATACTCCCTGAAGGTAGTTTCAGCTCTATTTACCCCCACCACTCTTCCTGGCCCCTTGGTTTAAAAAACCAATAGATATATGCAAAGTTGCAAACCAACAAAATTCATTCATAAGAAATTAAGAAGTATGTGGTTTAAAAGTCTACTTTTAAAGTTCATGGATTAAAAAATGTCTACCACAATTCATATACAACACACCTTCTAAGAGTAAATGAGTAATTATGATAAAGGCACCCATGATCTCAACTATGTTGCACATAAACGAAAAAATTGTGAGGAAACGAGAAATGGCATTTTTAGATGAAAAATGACTATTTTGATAGTTTCAAAGAGTTTCCGTAGAGTTTCTGAAACCGAAACGTACTCTTTTCTAGAGTCTCCGACTCTCCGTGCTTCATAGGATCTCAAGTCTTACAAATGAATGTTACTACTATGCATAATAAATTATGATTTATAGTATATTAACTAAAGCTCAAGAAACAAAAATTACAAAAGTCAATAATCAGGCCTTGACTTCAAAAAGATGGAACCATTAAGACGACTACAAACACCTCAACCGCTCTTGCGAGGGGTCAAGACTCAATAAGGTCGGATACCCGATAATACCAAACACCTTGACATCGCTTATAACTATTAACAAGCAAAACTTCACCCACCACAATAAGCTGACAGTATGTCGTTATCAATGAGCAATATATTACTCAACTCAAATACAGTAGTTTATATGCACATAATAATTGGACTGACTAATAAAAGATTCTAAATACACCATGATCCACAGGACATTGAACATTTTTGCATTTTCCAGAAACGTAGAAATTCATTTTTCCTAAAAACCCATTATGAATTTGACGCCTTATGACTTCTACTTAACTGTAATAACTAATGTTCCATCTTCTCTTCTACTTTCCTGAAGAAGAAAAACTCCGAGTCAAGAATCAAATGACTGAATAACAAAAGAAAAAAAAGGGATGATTTTTCTGAGAATATGGTTTAAGCCCTAATGGTTTCAGCCTCAGACTTTCAGTGTCAGGAAAAAATGAAATTAACAGCAGAGGTGAGCCCAAGGTCGCGTGTTAGCAGCATTGGGCACCAAAACGATCGGCGAAAAGGATTCAAGTCATTCAAAGTTAATAGAAAGTTGGCTGTTCAAGTATAAATAAAAAACCTAAATTTGCATGCTTCTGCTAGGCTAGCTTTTCATGTCAATGACCACTAACAAATTGAGAAAACCATATACACAAAATCTCATATTAAAATATCCACATGAAATAAGAAGTAATTGCACAAACCTGAAGTATCAAGTACATCAAACGAGATGGCTAACTGATCAAATAGCGTCATCTTGTGGTATAGTTGTGAGGAGCACCGGTCTAACAGAGATGACAGGTGTATAGTTAATCTCGTAACTCACATGCATTGACCCAAATATACTGAACTTCTCAGCACTACTATAAGCAACCTCTGCGTCAGATCCCCTCTTAAACACCACTCTCCCACGACAGCATTCCGGATGAACTTCGGTCTCTAATTCCTTTATAGGCCCAAACCGTCTGAATATCTTATTAAGGTTCACCTCTGAAGGAAGCCAACCACTACCCTCTTCAAACTTCAAGATAAGCTCTGCCGGCTCCCTCATTTTCTTCTCCACATCCTCATCTGCTGCTACAGCCACAACATAATTACTATCATTCCCGATAGAGTACCTTTTCCTAGAGTATGACCGCCGGCTTGTTTTATTATGATCAGAAGATTTATTATTGTTTGATGAATCACCAACAGAATGTTGCTGCTGCAATAGTTCATGTTGCTCCTCAGAATAGTTCTGAACAATCATGTCCGTCCAATATGAGTCATTAACATCATCATCAAACTCAAAACCTTCATCACCCACCACCTGGGAAGCTTTCCTCTTTCTACGAGCCCCACCAACTGCCGCAGGCTTTCCCGAGTGGGACAGATTCTGCTGCTGCAACTTAGACTGCTTCTTTGAGTATCTACTAAGATCTAACATGAACCTAACAAAAGTATCCAAAAAGGTATGATCTCTCACTGGGGCTCGTGCCACCATCTGAAGCTGAGAGTACAACTCAATGATGCAGGACGGGTTCTGTGTGTGACCATAACTACTGGCTGGCTCTGGGTGAACAAAGTCGCCTTTCAAGTGGCTCGCGGCTCTCATGATGCGTTCACCAATTTTGAAAGGCTGCGTGTTAGGAGTTACAGGTGACACTTTTGCGGAATAAACAATCATTGTCCCGTCCGGTTCACCTTCCAATTCAGAGCTTCCGTTTATCTCGGACATTCGTCTCTCTTTTGAGGACCTGTACTTACGTTTAAGAGAGGGGGCAAACACCTTATTATTCAAGATGGGTCTTGCATCATCATCATTTTCTAATAACTCTCCACCTGACAAGAACTCAGAAAGTACATTGGATCCCTTGAAACGGGAATAGGACAACAACTGGGCCCGGACAATAACAAGATCCAACTGATCAAATGAAGAATCGGGTGAGCATGCCATTCCCTTCAAGAATAGAAACAGCTTGTCTGGTACAAACGCCTCCACACCTGCCATAAACTTGTCAACACCCCATTTTTTCCGGCTTGATTCTTCATGTATACCTGTGTTCTCAACAATCTGGCATGCAATATTACTATAAAAAGCTTTGGGTATGCAAGAGCAATACAAGCCCAATTCTATCCGTCTTGAAACCTCTTCCAGTGCACACCTGACTGCATTCTGAAACGTTTCAGAACTGCTTTGCTTCACGATCTGGGAGAAGTTAGACGAGAACGGTTTCAGCAAGGATGCGTCGTTCCATGCAAAGGTTCGGTCCCCAAAATAAGCTACCAAAAAGCACCCCTTCTTATAATATCTAACTGCCTTTTCAGATGCATCTGCAGGATCAAATATCTGTCCAGGCCACCACGGATGATTTCTGACCTTTCCCCAGACTAAATCTGATACGGTGAACTTTCCAGGCTTTTCTGGAGGATGTAGAAAACCAGGATATAAGTTTACAGTCTTTTCTACGGACATGTCAGTTTCAGAATAAAGTTTCTTACAATCTTCTTCTACTACCACTACAACTTCTTCTTCCTTTTCTACTCTATCTTTATGCTGTTGCTCATCACTTATACATACTGTTTCTGGAGTATGAGGATCCACCAAAAAGTGTCCATCGTTTGTCTTTGATGGTCCCTTTTCCATTTCCACCACTTGCTCAACTTCCACCTCAATATGGGCCTCAACATGTGAAACATCAGTTCCCAGGAGTGGATCAGTAATTGTTGTCACTCCCATGTTCTGACTGTTATCTACCTCTCCTATAGGCTTACAAATCGATTCTCTACCTAGCTGCTTGAAGTTTTCAATATTAACTGGTTTTGTGTTTTCTTCCAGTGCGACAACAGTATGTGGTTGACAGTCGTCCAAAGATTCCCAACTACTCGCTTGATCATTGTTTGGAGTACCCTCTCTTCTAGCCATTACAGCATTTCTTCCCGAATCTACTTGCAAAAACCCTTCATGAATAAGCTCAAATGCAGGTTTAACAACAAAATGGTTATCCATCACCACATTACTTTTATTATTACCTAAATCGACATTCTGGACATCTTTTGACTCAGATTCACAAACATCCAAAATTTCGTGTGCAGGGACACGCACAGTCTGTAGACTCTGTACAATGTTAGCATCTTTAGTTGAGGCTAAGTTATCTGCGCTATTAATAACATCTACCTTTTCATCACCAATATCCATTGGTAAAATACCAGAGTACCTAACGGAGATTAAGCTGTTCTCTTTAGTAACATCTAACATGTCCTCAGCAATACCCATCGCTTCATTGTTATTCGAGGTTACTAAGCATGGATCATTCTCTGAGCAGTGATTAGTGGGCATTCTATTCTTGAAATCTGTTACAAAAACCCCAGCTTTTGTCAATTCTTCTCTATCAAGGTAATGTTTTGCATCAGATAGCTCTATTATATCACCCTTGTTAGTATTATCAACAATTCCAGATTCTGTAGAGCATTGCGGTTCTGGCAAGTCGTTTCTTGACTTACCTTCCACATCGATATCAGCAGATGTTGGATTATCATTGGAACTCTTAAAAGACTCAGGCTTATCATGAATTACAGTGTCGTTGTCACGATCCATTTGCAAACACTCCTGAGAATGAGGTAAGTTGTCTTTATTGTTGGCAACAATTGCAGAATGTTTATTGTCAGGGACAACCACAGTCTGTATAATGTCTGTGTCTTCAGTTGAGGTACTTGAGGCTGTGGCTGTGTTATCTGCAGTATTAGTAACATCTAATTTTTTCTCACCATTATCTATCTGCACAACATCAAGGTCCTTAATGGAGACAGAGGTACCCTCTTCCGTAACATTGAACTTGCCCTCATCAATATCCATTGCATCACTGTTTTTGGAGATAAGTAAGCATGTATCATTCTCTAAGCAGTAATTACTGGAAATTTTATTCTCAGAATTTATTACCACCTCAACCTCAGTCACTTCTTTATCAAGGTTATTATGTTTTGCATCAGAAACCTCTATTTCATCACCTTTGTTAATAATATCAACAATTCCAGATTCTGTAGAACAGTGAGGTTCTGGCAAGTCGACTTCTAGGTTATCTTTCTCATCAATATCAGCAGTTGTTGGATTATCCTTGGAATTATTGAAAGACTCGCCTCTACCATGCATAGCAGAGTGGTTGTCACCATCAACTTGCAAACCCTCCTGAGAATGAGGTAAGCGTTTATTACTGACAACAATATTGCCCACCTTTGATTGCATATTTACATCTTCATTTACCACCCCGAATTCCACATCCTTGAAAGTTATGGCAATATATTGAAACTTCACATCACATAGTTTTTTTTTATTCTTTCACATCACATAGTTAATTCAACTACACATCACATAGTTAATTCTTTTCCGTCATTTGCAATGGAGCCAAAGATTCATTATTTTTGGCTTGAGATTATGATGGAATAAAGCAAAATGACTCACTAGACTGTCTGACGCTTCTTTGTTATGGAGCAGCAGTCAGTCCATGCAATTTTGGACGCGATTTTCACTATGGGTCATCCGGAAACAGTCTCTCTGTGCTTTAGTGCAGGGGTAAGACTGCGTACATCCGACCCCCCTTACCCCACCGTAGGTGGGAGCCTTTGCGGCACTGGGGTAAATGAAATCACATAGTTAATTCAACTACAGTAATAATTATGTTACTAATAAAGTACTTGCTCGACGCAATTGGGAATATGATAGAATGAAGCAAAATGGTTCACTAAACTGTCTTCGCTTCTTTGTTATAACTTATAAGCAACAGTCAATCCATGCAATTTCGACGCGGTTTTTATCATGAGTCATCTGGAAATAATCTCTCTGTGCTTCAGTATAGGGGCAAGGCTAGGTACATCCGACCCTCCTTACCCCACCGTAGGTGGGACCCTTTGAAGCACTGGGCTAATGTTGTTGTAATAATGAAGTACTTGTAAGTTCAAAATATTATGCCTATTGTCTCATGTGTAAACCCATCACTCCAATTGCTTAAGTTTTGTCACTTTTGTATGTATACAGTTGACATTTTGTATGTTGATCCCAATTTTAGTTGCTTAGAGCCTCAGATTTGCTTAAAATGACACACTTTCTGTATATCGAATATCGATATACTTGCCACCAGAATTGGTAATTCTTTGTCATTGTCAATTCTTTCTCAGGCTAAATGACTCTTGATCAGTGTGGTCAAAAGTGCGCGCCTGGTGCGCTTAGGGCGCTATAGAGGTGCAGCACCTTATACTCTTCCGGGTGAGACTGTCTGAGTGAGGTGCAATATAAGTACTAGAAGCGCACGGCTGATTAGCCTGGAATGGTAAAGGGTTCTGAAGTTTTTTTATAAAAAAATTGGGCCTAGTTTAAATAAACCCATATCAATAAAAAGATATAGCCCATCCAACTAATAGGGGAAATACAAATTAAACCCTGTTAAGATCCTTCTAAGTCAGTGTATTAAGGGAGTATACAGACACTTAGAAAGTATTCATCATTGCATTCTTATTTTCTGCGTACTACCCACACCCTGCACAACATGCACAAGGTAACCTCCTTCTCCTCCCATTTTCCCATCTTCTTTCTAGTCATTTTAATTTCTTCTGTTCTTATTTTTCTACTTTTTTCCTTTTGAATGTAAATTGTAAAATATATATCTTCTTTCTTTATTTTTATCTCATCATTTAAAAGTCTATATCATTATCTTTTTCTTTATTTTATTTGTCACTTTCTTCTTCTGTTTTATACTTTATCTCCTAACAACTAACAAATCTTTTCTTTTAGTTGTGATTGTTTCTTTTTCTAACTGGTTTTATATTTTAAAATTATAACAATGTATATATTTTATAGTGTATATATATAGATGGTGCTTTTTTGCGCCTTGCGCCTCAGGCGATTTGAGTAATCTAAAGCCTTGAGTGCGCTTCATGACTTTGAGTACTTTTAACTACCTTGCTCTTGACTACCCCCAAATCCCTAATTGGCTCTCCTTGCTCTCAATCTCCCACAGACCATTACTTGCATGCATCCCAACCCCTATGGTACCACAAACAATTAGGAAGTAATTTGCAATGCAAAAGGGACAGAGACCAAAAAGATAAACAATTGAGGGACTAAATCTCATATTTTAACTTTGTATGACAAGTGCTTTTGAAATCATTTACTGTTTCTTGAAAATCCAATTTGTAAAATCCCATGTAATACCAAAAAATCGTCAAAAACAATTAAGCGATGGTGTGATAAAGTTCAATTGGGCCATATATAAAGCATGTGTGACATGTAAAATAGAGAAATAATTAACTTAGTTTTTTAATGGGATGTTTTCAATTGGATGAAACTTTCAATTCTTGTCATCCGCTGATCTGATTTGTTTAAGTCTGATAACTCTGATGTTGTGTCTTTTACTAGTCGTTGTGTTTACCGATGCCAATTTTTTTAGATTTCTTACTAGAAAAAATGATTTTCTGTTTTTTCTATTATATGCAATGTTAAATAGCCGTACTTTTAAAAATGGTACTCCCTCCGTCCCTTATAACTTTGCCAACTTTCCTTTTTTGGTTGTCCCAAAAACTTTGCCACTTTCCCGGCTCCTGTTATTTCTCTCTCCTCTGCACGAATCCCTACCACACAGTTTTTACTTTATTATTCTACGTGTCAGTCAAACTTGGCGATCCTTTTAAGGCCAGAGGGAGTATATGTTGTTTGAGAATAATTATATATGTTTTTAAATAAAACGGTATATTAAGCATGAAAATCTTGGTCCCCTTAACTAAAACTTTTGAAAACGTCTTTGTGCATCCTAATTCCTAATATAATGTTTAATAAGGAGTGACAATTAAAAAGCATCTGAACACCAAATAGGTCATGGAGAGAAATACACACACATATATAGCAAATCATCTATTTGCATGAGTAAAAGGTTACAATAGAAAATGTACCATTGCTAAAAACTGCAACTCTAGCAGTCAAAGGAATGCACTTCAAAACTGCAAAAGAAGAAACGTCTAAGAACATCTATTGAATACCCAAAGTCCAAACTAGTTCCTAAGCTCATAAAGGCAAATGTACACAAGAAAACTCTGTGATTTGCATCTTAGTATGTTTACCCATATGCGCAAGAAACAAATCACATTAATACAAGCTAGTTAGAGTTGATGATGGTGATGTGTACTATTTCTGCACCACTTCAATTGATCCATCTTTTTTTGTTTAAAAGGACATGTTCTAAAACACAATAAAAGATAAATGCAATGCTAAAAATTTATTAAACAACGTATTTGTATATAGTTGAAAAAAGGGAGAGGGCATAAAGCATAGGGGTGTCCCCAACCTAGTTTCGAAAGGAGTTTTAGGAAATTTAAATTCCACAAATCTTCGCCAGTTACGCTGTTTCGGAATCCCTTCTCATCGGAAATGCCACAACCGTAGTTATTGTTTTGAAACAGGCCTACAATTGATGGGAAGTATAGATGCTCAGGCCTAGTAGTATAGATGAACCAAGGGATAGGGGGACTATTGGGCCAAAAATAGGACAGTATTGATAAGAAGTCCGAGCAGAAGTGAGGAAGAAGAAACTTGGACTGAGGTAGGCAGTGTTGATTTGAAATCCAAGGCGAAGGGACGATTTTGGCTGGCGAAATAGTGAGGTCTCCCAGGTTGCCGAACCGGGGCCGGTCTTTTGAAAATGGAGACCACATGCAACAAGAAAATTTGGGCCTTCCTTTCCAACACAAGTAGAAATAGAACATAAATGTAGATAATAATAATAAATTACTGATAATTTTTCAAAATTAATTTGGTCCTTCCTTTCCAAAATTTTTGGGAAAGTTAACTTTTGAAGTGTTCTTTTCTTCTTAAGCTTCTTATATCTAGATTAAGCTTCTTATATCTACATTGGTATTTCATTGGAAACATAATAACTACCACTTATTGGAATCCTCCAATAATCTTATACATGTTTACAAATTTAATTTAAACACTAATTTAATTTCTGCCTCACTAACTTTAAACTAACAACCTAACAAGTGATAACATACTTATAGGGTTACACCAGTTCGTCAAATATAAATAGTTTAATTAATTCATCAATTAATTACAGAAAATCAAAACTAACAAAGCCCTAATGGGCCTAAAAAATTAAAATCAGCAAGTCAATCACAATTCACAATGTATCATGCAATGATGAAAAGGAATAATACATAATATTCCAACAAAATTAAGAAAACTAATATTATAATTATCATTTAAAACATATAAACTTACCTGGAGGCACGGTCGGCCGGACGTGGTACCGGACTGCCGGGTGCGGACAGCGGACGTCCGGTGATGCGGTGGAGACTGGCGGACCTAGACGAACAGACGGTTGTCGCGTGGGAACTGAAGTGGTCGGCGACTCGGTGGCGACTTAACGGGTTTGTCGATTTGGCGGATGCGGATTGCTGCCTTGCGGGATGCGTTGGAACTTGGTCTTGTCGACGGCAACTTCAACTGACGAAGGGCGACGGAAGGCTTTTACTCGCTTAGTGGCTTGATTCCAGACGGACCAGACTCACACATTACATTTCTCTCTTTTTCTTGGACTCGAGCTACCTAATACTACTTTTAAAATTGCTTCTGATCCTTCAGGGAGGAGAAGCAGAAGTTGGGGTGTTTGGGTGAAAGTGCAGAAGTTATTCTGTTGCTCTAATTTACTCCTAGAATCAGTTTTTTTAGAAGCTGAGGGTGATCAGCTTCTGAAAACTGATTCTGCTTCTGCTTTAAAAAAGAAGCAGAATCAGAATTAGTTCCAAACACCCCCTGATTTCACGGCCAGCCCTGCGCCGAACCATGATTAGCTATTAGGGAAATATTCACAAATAGCCTAAAATTGAAAATAATATCACTTTTTTTTCACTTTTGAAAGTTCTTTTCAAAAAGGGATAAGGGTCACATAGGGCTTCGAAATTGGAAAAAATGTCAAATAAGGCCATATTTAGGATGCTCTGTCCGACCGACACCATTTGGGGCGGTTCCCGGTAGAATTTTTTGATGAATTTTTTTGAGAATCTTTTTCATCAAGTCTAGTTTACTCATATCAAATTTGAACTAAAACTTCAATCGAAAAGACATTCAAATGAATTCTTGAAGATAACTGCTCTTTAACTGCGCAGTTATCTTCAAGAATTCATTTGTGTGTCTTCCCTATTGAAGTTTTAGTTCAAATTTGATATGAGTAAACTAGACTTAATGAATAAGATTTTCAAAAAAAAATAATCAAAAAATTCCACCGAGAACCGCCCCAAATAACGTCGGCCGGACAGAGCATCCTAAATATGGCCTTATTTGACATTTTTTGTCAAGTTTGAAGCCATATCTGACCCTTATCCCTTTCAAAAATAGACGAGTAAAGTTTTCCTTTCATAAATAGACTTTCGTACATAGAACTCCAGTCATGCGCATCTTGATTCCTTAAAAGTGCAGTTAGGTTATTAAAAAAGAAAGTTTGCACTGATGCCACGTTAGTAAGCAAAAGTGTTATCTCCAACTTTATTTAACTCTTAAAAAATGTAAATTAGAAAATATTTTTTTTGTAAAAATAAAAATAAAAATGCATTAAAGGAGGAAATTTTATAAATCGGATGATCTTTAAATATTAAAAGTATACATTATAAAAAATGAAATAACACGAAAGATTTTTCAAACAATTAAAAATATGAACATGGTTTATTTTTTAAAAAGAGTCAAAAAGTCTAAAAAATAACAAAAATATTTTTAAAAAGAAAATAAATAAAAATCATAATATTAAGAAAAGAATGAAGGAAAGCAAGCAATTCAAATAAAAAATATATGAATTATCAGAAAACTTCAAAAAACTAAAAAAGTGTTAAACTGGTTTTGTTTTAACCCTTTCGAAAACAAAAATTTTAAACATTTAAGATAAAAAAATTAAAATTCGTTAAAGCTAAAACAAATTGTGACAAAAATTAAAGAAGATGAATTCTGAGATTTGAAAAACATAAAAAAACTCAAATTTATATATAAAGTTTGAAAACATCTAAAACTTCAAAATTACTGTTAATAAGTAAATAAAAATAGAAAATAAGATTCTTTGAATTTTTAAAAATCAGAGAACTAGATTAAATTAATAAGTATTAAAATCTAAAACCCCTGGACACAAATTTATTTTTATTATATCATTATCACTTAATTTTTACTTTTGTTGCATATTGTTTCTTTGTGTTTCCCTTTGTTGATAATTTTACAATTTTTTTTTGTTTTTTATTGTTTCTTCAAATTTCTTTTTGTTTATTCATAAGTCCAATTTTATTATTTTAGGTGTTTTTGTTTCCTATTGTTTCTTTGTGTTTATTTTTGTTGATAACTTTGAAATTCTTGTTTTTTATTGTTTCTTCTTGTTGTTCATATTCATTAATTGATATTTAACATTTTTTGGTGTTTGTTCATATTGCCTATATAGATATTTCAATTTTAAGGATTAGAAAAATACATAGAAATCCAAATAAATAACAAAAAACTGAATAAACAATAAACAATAATAAAAAACATAGTGCAACAAAAAGTAACAAGATGCAACAAAATTCAACACGATGCAACAAAGTGCAATACATGTAATACAACAAAAAGAAACAAAAAATTATATATAATAGTATCACAATAAATACACAATTCAATCGATCATTTCAAATTATTACATTTATCCATTATGTTATTTCGCTTTACTTTATCATTTCTTCTCCGGTATGTCGCTTGTAGTGACACCAGTGTTAGTGTGCCTCACCAAAGAGACATCATTGTCTTTTTCCATACCAGTTGATGGTGGTACTTCTTCCCGGCCTGCAAAATATCAATCTTTTAGAATGGGAATATATCTTCGTTTGACGAAATAATAAATTGGTATTATGAGATTGCAACTTAGGAAGAGACTTACGATGAGTCCTTGTAGGAGTATCAAGAGAATGCTCTTTTGCATGGTTACCTCCCCCGAGGACACCTTTTCATCTAAGCTGAACATGCTAGACCGAATGCCGTCATTTTCATTGTCATTGATCTCTTCTCTATAAGGAGAGTCCTTTTTGCGGCCAAGCTTGGGAGATTTTGCTCTCGTTGTAGGAATCTTTTTTCAGCTCCACCTGGGAGGTGGAGGTTCCTGATAGAAGGTTGGCATTGAAGTTGCTTTAAATGTTAATGACATTCTAAACATTTTGATCTCAGCTTCTTGTGATTCCTTGGTCTTTGCTTGCAAATTATTCTGTTCCATTTCCTTTGCATGGATCTTTTCCTCTAGCTTAGAGTAGAATTCTTTCCCTTTCTTCAGCACTTTCATTACACTTGAAACTGAAATCATAGCCTGGAAGTGCATTAACTATGTGCGACTTGGCATCTTCAGATATAGGACTTGCAGAGGATTGAGCCATTGATTCAGCTTTATTTGGAGGGTCTTTCATGAGAGGCTTCACTTTAGGTTTTTCCGTAAAGCCTTCCGGCTATCCACTACTCAGGAAAGATGTTTTATCTGTCTGCTTAGAATGATTAGCCTTCACAGAAGAAGAAACCACCTTTGGATTTCTCTGACTAGCTTTCCCATCATTACCAATTTACTCTTTTCAACGAGAGCAGTAGGTTGTTTATCTAGTGATTTGGAGGTCATAGTCCCATTGAGTTTTCCGTATTTGCCTTTCTTTGACCCAGAAACCACAGTATGTGCAAAGTTTGAAGGCTTCCCGTTTTTTAGCTTTCCGGAAGCTTTCTGCGGTTTGCCACTCTTATGCTCTGTATAATTCTTAGCGTTGGATTCCTTAGAACTAGGACTGTCATTGCTACATAAAGGCATTTTCGATTTGTCTCCAACCCCTTCAGTAGAAGTTTCAATAGCTTTATCATCTTTCAAAATGACACCACTTTGAAAAATCTCTTGCACCCCTTCAATCTCAGTACTGCCGTTGGATACCCCTTCAGACTCATAAACAAATTATGTGATCCTAAAATACTTAAGAAAGCGGATGTGAATGATATACATCGACATATCAACTCTGACTAGCTCTTACAATGTAATATATTTCTTGTTCATAGAGGATGAACATACTAAGATGCAATCAGAGATAGTTTTGTGGTGTACATTTTTCCTTTACGAGCCTAGGAACTAATTTGGACTTAGGGTATTCACTAGATGTTTTTAGACAATTCTTTTTCTACAGTTTTGTAGTGTATTCCAACTGGTTGATGTTGCTAGGGTTCTTGCAATTTTTCGCAATGGTACAATTTCTGTCGTAACCTCTTACTTCTCCAAATATATGGTTTGATGTAAAGGGCAATGACCGATTGAGGTGCTTCCGATACGATTTTTTGATAAAATTTCGTGAACATGTTACACATGAAGTGTATATTATATCCATCAAGTTTCAGTTGGCAAGGCGGGTTCGACCTAGTTCTGAAATTTCAAATACTCACCCTCCTCCTACACCACCGCTTCACTTCTAGAGAAAATTAGCGTTCAACTGGATCTCCTTTTCGGTGGCTGGTCAAATTGACGATTCATCCAATTTCTACTCAATTGAGTTTCCTTTGTTGGTTGTTGGTCAAACCAATTCTCCCTTTTCCAGTGGCGAGTGAAGCTTAATCTTACATTTATAATTTTCTATTCTCTTTGTAGTAGCTAGAAGAGCAACAAGGGAGTTAGCGCATACTACATTATTGGGGGGTAAGTGATCTGGGAGGATCCGTTAGATCCTTTCCTTCTATTTCTATCTCATTGTAGTCTTAAGCTATTCATTCACTTGTATCTTTACTGCTACATACGTTCCACTAACATTAAGACATGAGAGGGGGGCACACTTATTAATAAAAATGAGTTTGCGTAGTTAATGTTGAATTGATAAAGTGAAAATAAAATAAAAATGATTTCGAATTACACAAATTTTACCAATTTCGGTATGAGACTCTATTTGAGACAATCCTAGAAGGATGGAGGGAATATTTGATTACGAAAAAAATTCATCAAAAAGATCCACCGGGAACCGTCTCAAATGGCGACGGCCGGACAGAGCATCTTATATAAGGGCTTATTTGATCTTTTATGTAAGTTCGATGGCCTATCTGACCCTTTTCCCTTTAAATATTCCCTCCGTTTTCTAATAATTGTTTCGTAACCCTTTGTATTACTTGTCTCTCTTTGCCCTTTTAATAAATTTTCCTTGTTCAAATACTTTTATAACCTCACTTTTATTACTCTTACTTTTTTGGAACTTTATCAATCCAGGACCTGAAAGATAGACAAACTATCAATTCGGGACCTGAAAGATGAAATGTATCAGTATAGGACCTGAATGATGAAAAACTATCAATCTAGGACCCGAATGATTGAAAACTATCAATTTAGGACCTAAGTTTTCATAAATTTTATTATTGTTTTTATTTTAAAAAATTTAAATAATATTTAGTTTTATTAAACTAATAAACTTTTGTGAAGAAAATTTCACCAAATATTAGCAATGAAATTAATAAAAAAATTAAATAAATCAAAACCTATGAAATGTTAGATCCTATATTGATAGTTTTTCATCTTTTGAGTCTTAAACT